TTTATAGCGTTTGAGACAGTTCATTTTATCTAATATTGATTTAATTAAAAATGGACTTCTTCAATTTTTTCTTGTGGAAAACAATACGATGATATACATGTTCAGTGTTAGTTTTCTATTAAAATTTCAAAAACAACTAGAAAGATTCGATTTGATGATCCAAATAGAACATTTAATAGCGCATCTTTTGGAAAAACAAACGATCAACATTTTAACACGTTGCCGAACAGAGTTACGTGCAAAAAAAACAATGTCGCAAAACTTATACAACACCACTTATTCGTGACTATCTCGTCAAGTTCTATCAAAGTATATATACATGAACCAGAAAAGATTCATTTGAATTTTGCACTAGCAATGCCTCACTTTATTTATAACGAAATCATCATGACGTTTGTCTTGCAAAAACAAAAAATACTACTGAAATTGAAATATTATATCACGCATTACTGTAAACTTCGTATTTTTCAACACCTTCTCATACTGCTTGCTTTTCTATTACGTTTATAATGTTATTCTAGGTTCTTTTTTTTCATTTGCTATTGATCAGATAGATTAATCAGTAGAAATTTCTTCGATTTTTACTTATTCTTCGACGATTTATTTACGATCATCATTCGTTTTTTTTTAATATTACGAATTCTTTTTGACATTCGTATTGTTAACGAAGAAAGAAGAAAACCAATATGAATTAATTAAAAATTTTTTTTTTGTATTCAAGGATAAATTCAATTGGTTGATGTAAAGAGACGATTGTAAATATCTTTTGCACTCATAGATTAATAAAAAACATTTTTTTTTCTTATAATTGTTTCTTTTTTCACTGGAACATATGATGAAATCATGAAATAGAATAAATTGTCGTATGTGTAAACAGAATCGAAAAATTGAAAAGAAGTTATATATCATTCTGATTCAATATTTTTTTTCCTCCAAAAGTGAAGAATCTATTGTTTTTAACTGAAGTTAAAAGCCACTATCACAATAAGAATTAATCGGTAAAGCGATATCGATACCTTTAATTGTACAAAACTATTAGTCAAAAACAAAATAGAACATTAGAAATCAATTAAATCAATATTTTATAAACTAAACTTATAAGATATTACAGAACGAAAAAAGTATGTTCTTTACTCGATTTGTTTCTAAAAATCAAATAAGTGAAATAATTAACGATAGATAGATCTTGAATTTTTGGAGAGTTCGAAAATAAAAATTTTGAATGAGTGTGATGTGGATATCAGAGACGGGAACAGGACAGGACAATGCCGTCGTCCTGGTGTCCTGTCCTGCAGGACAAGACTAGAAATATTGTCCTGTCCTGTGAGCGGCAGGATGGGGACTTTCGCAGGATAGAACACACAACATTGTCCTGTATTTTTATATGTAGCTTTCGGATGAATTTTAAAAGATTTTTGCTTTGAATGTTAGGTTACCTGTAACAATTAGTTAATATTTCACATATTAACTATGATTTATAGGTGTTACTGTAAAAGTGATCAACATTGTATCATATTGGTGAACAAAAGCATTAAATCATAAATCAACATACAAGACAACAAGAAAAATAAATAAATAGAGCATAACAATGCCTTTCAATGATTGTTTATTCAATCGTGTTTATTATTTTTTTGTTGTTCAATCGTATCATTTTTTTTTAAATGATTCTCAGATTTCTAATATTTAGAAAACAAGATTATTTATGGATGTAGTTGAAATTGATGCATTTGATGAAGATACTCTCGATTCAGAAAAAATCAAACATTTACTCTGTTCAGACAGTAACAAATATATAGTTATCGAAAATAAATTATCAAAACCATGTCCATCTTGGTGGAAGATATTTGGATTTCCTGCAATATTGGATGAAAATAAAAAATATCGACGTATTTTTGCATACGTCAGTTGCTTCAAGTGTTTTCAAACGTTTATTTATTCTTCCAAAAGTGGTACAACACGTTTAAAGGAACACGAAATCAAATGCATCAAAAGCAATTCTTCATCATCATCATCATCATCCATTTCAATTTCTTCTGAAGTAATTAATCAATCTGATGCTTTATTATCAGCTCAATCAACACTTGCTCAACATGGATTCAAAAAGTCTTTAAAACTAAGTGAAACAGATATTGAAAATATGAAAAAATTAAGTGCTCAATGGATGTGTGAAAATATTCGTCCGTTCTCGGTGATAGAAGATTCTGGATTTCGTGCAGTTTCTCAAGAATTAATATGTATTGATAAAATGGTTTATTTTCATTTATTAGAGACCTATAATACTTTTTATTATTCTTTCAGGACATAAATATGGAGTAGTCGATGTTGATGATGTTTTACGAGGCCGTCAAACAACAGCACAAACCATTTATAATCTTGCTGATTCATATAGAGAACGTATCAATCAAATATCAATTGAACCACTTCAACAACATGCTGTTACAATAAGTCCAGATTTTTGGTTGGACCCTTATAAAAATATATCATACTTAGGATTAAATGTTTCATTTGCTGATGCTAATCATCGATATTTTTCTATTGATCTGTTTTGTCGTGCATATTTTGGTGTTAAATCCGGCGATTTAATAGTTAA